TATATATATATATATATATATATATATATATATATATATATATATATATGTATGTATATATATATATATGCAATCTGGAAGGCGAGCTGCACCAAGCGAAACGAAAGGTGAAGCTAGCACCTTATGCCGGGATCAAAACATTTTACAATACTTTCACCCAAACAATTATTTACTCTGACTATTCGTCGACTTTAATTAATTGAATAATCTGGGACAGAAACGTTTATAGTTGACAAGTGGTAATCAAACGTTATATCTCACGGGGCATCTCGAACTCAATTTTGAGTGAGGGATTCTCAGAAAAGCCACTTTTATCACGGAAACAACGGCTAAATTGTATGACCGACTGTACACAATCACATGTAATGTTCATGAATATATTTCGCTTAATTTCCGGAAGACGAGGAAACAAAAGAGTAGTGTAAGTGTATTTTTCCCAGTAAATTACATGAAAATGCCTATCAGATGTTGACAGCCACCACTGCTTGTGACTGAGAATTTAACCAGCCGAAATCAAACTACCTATAGTATTCATAGGCGACTTGAAATCTAGTGGAATCCTAGCGATCATGGAAATTATATTCATGATAAACAGATTATACATTCCAAGGGCTTTTTCAATAACCACTTTGTTCTTAGCTTTTCAAATCCCATGTTCGTGATATCTGCGTTCATTTCCACTCATAAGACAACTGAGATGGTCAAGGACTATTTGCGTATAATCCGTTACTTACCTGAGAGGTGACGGGTTTGTCTCAGTTGGATACGCACCGCTGAAAAAATTCAATAAAATCGAAACAGTTGTATAGCGCTTTCAACATTGCAAGCATTTGAATTAAATCCATCGAATTATCTGACCAGACAGTGTTATACCTCTCATATTCTTCTTACCCGGACATTATTCAATTTTTCGGAGCCACCGTTATGAAAAAATAAGTTTCTGACGACACAGCCCGGAAAGAAAACGATTAGCCTAACTAAAATCTCTTTAAATTAGAAACAGAACTACTAAGCGCAGTTAATGTGATCCCTAGAGGTCAGTTTCAAGTGTTATGGATCAACCCGTCCTGTGGTCTATCAGAGAGTAACCACATTCAGAAATGGAGAGCCGAAAAGGCTGAGATTCCACTAAGTGACAGACTCTAAAAGGGTACCATTGCTTTCGGAAGCCACCCTGGGATGTGTTCGGTGACGAAGAGGCAGTTACTTCACCGGATGAGCAGAAAAGACTTAGTTCTTTGATGAATTCCGAAAGCCTGATATATTCTGTCATGATCCAGTATTAACCACACGTAGTGCTTTTAGGGTCGAACTGAAACAACCGTAGGCAAATTGGTTGTGGTCATTCTGACTGGGTTTGGAAGAGTAGAGTGACAGACGATACGGTAGAAGTTAGACGACGGTTTCCTAGCTTCAGCACGGAATAAAGACAGTGTATCTTCAGCTAAAGCATAGATTAGGTTCTCATGAATCCAGTAGTGGGAGGTAGCACCATACGTAAGTAAAGATTGGGATCGTAAAATATTTTTCGGATTTAAATAAATTAGCTCTTTTTTTATCTCTGCAATATGAATGCGGTTCGGATTCCACTCAGGCAGGGAATAGGTAATAAGTAGGGTATCTGAGAATGTACAAAGCACTCCATTCTTAGTAAAGTACGATAAAAAATTGCATGTTCTATCATCTTTCCGGCTGGCATTCCGCGAAGACGTCCCACGACCCACCCGTTGATGCGGCCACCAGAGGAAAACTGCGAGTTGATTGAAAACTTCACTTACTGTGTCTATTAAACGTCTTTTTTGAAAAGAAATCGCCTCGTTTCGAATCAAATTAAGCATCGTGTAGAGGAAGACGAATGTGAAGCATTGAAGTTATCTCAGTTAGAGAAACACAAGTTACTGGATCAAGTGACGCTGCTGGCCTTGGCTAATGCTCGGATTTCCGGTTGATTACTGGAGTGGAAAATTGATTTAAACTGATTTTCAAAAGAGAGTCAGGCTGACACAAATTACGACTTATGATTAATAAGAATACATTTTGTAACATAGGTTTTCTTTCGCAATTCTGTGGGGCACTCGAATATGGTCATTTTTGTTACAGTGGTCACCAAAGCCATTCGGTCTATCGATGGGTTCTGTCGCACTTACGTAAACGGGTGAACCACAATCGAGATTTTTATGATGATTGTGAAAAGTTCAGTAGCCTCGGTGGGATTCGAACCCACGCATGGCCGCCGCCTACACTTTGTACGCGCATACTCTACCAGCTGCATGGGTAATTCGAATATGAAAAGATCAGTGCTATCGGTGTGGCCTCATAGCTCAGCTGGTAGAGCGTGCGCGTACAAAGCGTAGGGGGCGATAATGCATGGGTTTGAATCCCACCGAGGCTACTGAACTTTTCATAATCGCCATGGAAACTTCAAATCTGTCAAGGATCCATTTGCATAATCGAGATTGACCGGTCAGAGGATGTGTTTAGTAAGGTGTCAGATGCCAAATTCAAGCGATCGGTAAGCGACGTTGCGCGGACGCATCTGTGTGAAGGAATGAACGATAATCGCACTTGTCTTTGCTAGAGCACCGATGCAATTAGACAGTTTGTTGACCAAAGGTCATCGTAACCCGGGTCTGACGCGCCCCTGACTGTTTGCGCGATGCAATTTAAGTTTATAAATCACGTGTTGAACTTTATCCGTCACTTTTGTTTACCGACACAGGCGATAACGAATGTAGCAATCGGTCGGAACACACAATGGTAACAATAAAAGCGAACGAATGAGTAGATGTTTTTAGAACTAGTCATACACATTTTTCCGTAAAAAACCATGAATAGATCACACAGAAAACAATCAGTTCGGAATATGGGGAAGAAGTCAATGTACTGATTTTACCTCGTAACAGATATTTCACTCATTACAGATGTAATTTCCTTCAAATGCGATTGTTTGTCTCGAGTTCTACTTGGTTCATCCCTGTTTTCATGAAATGGTTTACATCGATGTTGTTATTATAATAGTTAAAACAGTTATGTGTTATGGTGGACAGGATATACTCATTTCTGTGGTTAGTCTAACATAGCATAGAAATAGAGAAATATCTGGTATTAATATGCGACAATTGGGTTAAAAAACTCAAACTAAATAAGGTCGGTAGGCTCGGGATAACTAGAAACATGAAACCATGAAGCGCAGAATACAGAATGCAATGAACTAATTTTAGCATCGTAAGATTTAAAAAAATTTGACACATAAAGGATATGCAGGACGGTATATCTAAGTTCCGTTATAAATAAACAGTATAGAGTTATAAACAGTGGGAACAAGTAAGTGAATTAACGTACTTTTCGTCGATCCGGTTTATTTTGTCACAACACTCAACCGATTTTTCATACTACTTGATAGCATTTACTACTGACTAACGTGTTATGCCGCAGTTCCCGGAGTTTACCCATTTTTCCGAAATCCCGAGGGATGCGATTTAGCAAGAGATTGACTGTAATGGTCCATATTTATTCCGTTCCTCACACACTTAAACAAAAATCTAATGGGATGTAAGATGCTTAGATGTATAAATGATACACCGTATATTCATGTACTCCTCTGAACATGCCTTCTTTAATTGTATTTTATCGGCGCAATTTCACTATTAGTTGCAGCGAAATTTCCATGAAGTTTTCTACTGATTAAAGAGCTGGAACAGAATTTCTTACATCATTTTTGAACGCAGTATACAATCCGCGTTCATATTTAATAGTTGGTTGCTTCTAAACGCGATGTTGTATGATATTTTGGAAATGTTCTTGAACTCCAAATACAGTGTTGTGTACATCTGCCCCAGTCTATATGGATACTCTATTTTTCCATTGACTCTGCCTCAATAGTGCAATTGTCTTTTTGTTCTTTTATCGAAATGGGTGGGCAAAAGAGCGCAAACAAACCAGAGCACGAAACTGCATGGGTAATGGTTGGAAAAACTGAAACTGAAACTGAAACGGAACTATCTACTTGCTGAGGTTGCGTAAATGTGTCGCTCTGTTTAGTCAGTCGAAATACCACCGAAAACGAGCTTGTTTGGTAACCCGTGCTCTAATGAATTACAAATGCCTTTCTTGAGGATGATACACGTGGAGATACACTGTAGCCAGTCTCAGTTGCGCCGAGAAAAGCTTTCCCTGTTTCATAATAAGTAGTATGTGAATGACTGGACAAAATTTCTCTGGAAGCACACGACCGGTTTCGCGGTACTTGCCACTCTTCAGGCATGCGTATTCGGTAATCTTTTGTCAGTTCACTCATATACTTGTACTCAGGAAGTGTTGCAAACAAGGTTATTGTGACGAAAAAGCTTTCCTTGGGATATATTCGAGTTGAGAGATACAAACAGAATTACACTATGGGAAAATTGTTCCTCATGTAAAAGATAGTCCCTGAGCAATATGAAGACAACCGTGGGTCAAATACTGTAATAACCTCTACTGAATATCCCTTGAAGCGCCCAGCACACAGCTGTCATACTCTGCTGAAGTATGGATAACTGCGAGTTAATCTTACCACCACACATCCCACTCATTGAACTATAAGGGTGGCACAATTGTAATCAGGCTGTGAACAGATACGACACGAATTATAAATGATGCAATAGGGATGATAAAATATGCGACGAGGCTGAGCAAAAGAGGAAAGATCTGTATGTGACAGGTTGTTGCGATATACATTGTGGAATAAACGCATAAATCGATCCGCCAGTTATGGGGAAAAAGTATGATTCATGTTACCTATGGAATGAGCTCAAATTTAACCTTGCTATTCAGGTAAAAGACTGCTAATTCTTTCTTTCTATCATTGCCAAGTATCTTGTCAAGTGTTACTTTTAATGCTTGGAAGTATGTAGTCAATTGCATGTGGAGCAAAAGAATTTGTGTTATTCGAGAGGACCTCTGCCTCAAGGGAATTTACTCAATAGGCCAGTGAATGCGTAGGCCGAACCCACTCCTGCAATGATTCATTCCGACTCATCGATTCATTTGGAAGTGGTTCGCTTCCTTGCTCAGCCGAGTGAAATCAATTACCACCGGGTTTGTTCATTCTCGTCTCAAGTTCACACGATCAACGTTGAATAATTTAACGTACCCAAAAGGTGTTTTAGTGAAGCAGTGGGGGGGGGACGACGACGACGAACATTCCATACGCGAAACCCTCATCCGAGTTCGGTAACCCCCCACTCAAGCACTTTTGTTTATCTATGGAGAAATAAGTTAACTTTGACTGGACGGGGTTTTGAGAGCTTTGGTTAAATTGGTGATGTGTGGAAGCAGAAGAACCAATCATTTTGTTGGATTCCTTGTAGAACACTATTGGTTGGATTCACTTGAAATCGAAAATTTACGCATCCTCAGCTTGACTATTGGAACACACTATTGTGCCATTCGAAGATATCGACCTTCTATACTTTGAAGTTCCACTCTAATTTCCGTTGCACTCGGTCTAACTCCCTGGTTGAAGTGTCTGGATCCTACGGTGTTTATTCAGGGAGATATTTGACATCTCGCAATCGAGTTATTTATTTCTTAACGAACAGTTTATAAAACAAGGTAGTGCTTCAGCTCGTTTTCATTTATTCCTAATCTTTCCAAGTTTTCACTGTAATAATACAACCTCATCAAAATCGCACCTCAACAACACGGCCATCTTGCCAAAGGTGTCCATGAAGTCCGTTCAGCCTGTTTGTCCCGAGCTTGGTAATTTATTTGTAAACGTTTCATCAACGCACGAGTTGAAATAATCAGAGCTTGTGAAGTGGCTTTGACGATGTTACCTTGACTAGTGATGAAACGTTTGCAAATAAATTACCAACTTCGACAAACAGGCGAGATGGAACAATGTTTTACGCCAGGTATTTCAGTGCGCTTTCATTCGAAAAAAACAGATCCATCTTTCGAATTTGCGGCTATTCATTATCAAGAAATGTGTTGTTCTGGGTCCTCGTCCGTTAACTGCCCGCTTTGTCTTGCATGTAGACCAATGAGATTATTCGTTGCGATTTTGAAAAAAAATTCGAAACAAGGTGGTTGTACAAAGTAGTCAAAATTCCTCATCAATCAATTTAGGAAACACGCTCGTAATCTCTGACGCTCTTTCTGTTCCCAATACAGTGTATTGTTTTTCTCGTCAGAAGAACAACTAATGAGAACTATTCGAAAAGTCCGTTGTCGCCCGTAGGCGTTTTACGACAACCGGTTGTTGGGCTCTTTCTTGATCTCTTTTATTGCAGCGAGAATGTATCAGTATTCACATTGGACAGGCTGGAGTTCAGATGGGCAATGCGTGTTGGGAGTTGTACTGTTTGGAGCATGGATTGCCAGCAGACGGGCAATTGCATTTTCCCAAACACGCCTTGCCTGAAGATGATTCCTATAATACATTTTTCAGTGAAACAGTTCATGGCAAACATGTTCCTCGAGCCATATTTATCGATTTGGAGCCCAGTGTTATAGGTGAGTCGTGAAAGTTTGAGTTTTGATATATTTTCTTACGGTACGATGCTCCTTTTTCCTAATTAATAACTAGAACTTTTGGTAATATTGTATCACGGAGATCAGTTTAAATAGATATTGTCAGCGGTTGTGCTTTTCCTTAATCTCAAACTTGGAGCTACAATCTCTTTTAAAAAAGTGGCGTGAAACTCACCATTGAAATAATATTATTATTGCAAAACGTGACCGTTCAGTTCAGATCAGTTTGTAGAACCACTTTAATGCATCCATTCGGGTGAATAAAAGGAGAAAACAGGAAAAGTTCAAAGAAAGATCAAACAGAAATTTCGAATTTCAATGGACTAATGTTGCAGAGAAATTGACAAAATGCACGAACACCACTTTTACAATACTCAGCCATATCACTCAATGTCTCTAACCATCGGGTATGATCATCCCGAGGTCCCCATCTAGGGAGCTTAACAAGACCTGTGTGACCTTGACTCTTGGTTAGGGTTTTCATACCCTCATGCCAGATCTTAGCTTGACCACCCTTGACTTTCTTCCACTCACTACCTGCCTCGGCGAATATGGCTCACCGTGGCAACCTATCTGGTGACATGCGTAACACATGTCCCAACCAACGTAATCAATGGAGGTCGACCGTTTCCTCCAGTGGCGACCGCGTTTGCCTAAAACTCTGCGCCTACCTCTAAATACTTTTACTGCTACTACTACTACTACTAATACTATTAGTACTACTTATACTACTAGTACTAAAGGGGGTTTTGAAAAGTCCCTTGATACATTTGGCTTCCGGAGTTATTATGAAGGAAATTCCAGAGGTATTAGGCATCAACTAATTTTTGAAGTTACTTTTGAATTGTACAAGTATCATGTCTATACTTCAGGATGAGAAATTTCAACCTACTGTGTATACAAATCAGCCTTATCAATTACAGCGTTTTTGCTGTTTCAGATGTTATTTGTAGGAGAAACGTTTGAATGACTAGACGCAATTTACTGAGTAAGAAGGTCCTATGATAATCTTTTTAAGATGACTACTTTTTACTGTTGATTTGTGCCCATCTTCGTTCAGACCTCAACTCGACACCCAGTCCTGAATTCATCAGTCTACCATTCATTCGTGCAACTGCAAACCTGATCAAGCTTTCGTTAGGGCTCATTCATAACGTATATAGATATCCTTCCCTCAGGTATTTAGACTCCCAACTCCCGGCGCTAATGTGAAAAATATCATTTATGCACCGATAGCATATAAGTTTATACCTTCTAACATAGTCCATTTCATTATGCAGATGAAATTCGTACCGGGACATATCGTCAACTATTCCATCCGGATAATCTAATCTCCGGAAAGGAGGATGCAGCGAACAACTATGCTCGCGGACACTATACCGTAGGAAAAGATATTGTGGACACAGTACTTGATCATATTAGGAAAGCGGCAGATCAATGTGGTGGACTACAAGGCTTTCTCATTTTCCATTCATTTGGCGGGGGAACCGGGTCCGGATTCACCTCACTACTCATGGAACGATTAAGTGTGGATTATGGGAAAAAATCGAAAATGGAATTTTGCATCTATCCGGCACCGCAAATTTCGACAGCCGTTGTTGAACCGTACAACGCACTGATGAATACACATGTAACTTTGGAACACTCCGACTGTACCTTCCTTGTGGATAACGAGGCAATCTACGATATTTGTCGGTAAGTAAGTCAGTATGCAACAGTGTTCTCATTTGTACCTTCCGAGAATATTTGATTAGCCTTACTATGACTGACTTACACATAACTGATGGAACTCAAGTGCCTAAAATATGGCAGTACAATGTAGGCCCACAAGGTGAATTTCATGCATGGGTCAAAACATCACCGAGGTTGCTGACCTTTCCCCAATTTCAAAGTTGCCATTTATGTAATCTTCTATATTGATAGTGGGAAAGCCTTTAAATTATCATTAGTGCTGCGTCAGATTCCGGTTGGTGTACTTTCTCTGAAGACGTTAACTCTAATGGGTATCACAGTGTTAAAATCACCAGTGTGACGAGCAACGTTGCCAATGACAAAAAATGCATGTTTATCGAAAATTTTAAACGATGGCGACCAACCGGTCTGCATCCTCATGATAAAAACCGAAAGATAAACTTCGCAAATTTTACTCGCCACCCGACTGTTCTGCTTTAATCTGTTTGCAGACTGAACCAAACAAACTGCAGCTCATCCGATTCCTAAAAGTTTATTGTATTGGGTTGTTGCAGAAGTTCCCGCCCACCCACTCTTTCCTTCGTTTTATATTCATGTAGAGGCACTATTTCTCGTCTCCAGAGATGATTCTGTATAAGAAACGTTGCCTGTGGCCATGGGTTTCTTGGTTTCGAGAGAGATTTTGAGCAGCGATTGAAAGCCGCATGTCCTTCTGCTTTTGGGTGAGTTCGTGCGGGACGCAAGCAAACCAAACCCTAGCAGTTCTCTGATATAGTGTCCTCTCCATACAGGGTAAATCATCTCTGGTAGCTTCACTCGCTTTTTGACCTCGGTTAAAGGAGAAAACAAGGTGTCAAAGTGCGATTTTTTGTCTACTTGACAATTCATTTGACGGTGGTAAAACCGACCAAAAATAACATAGACAAAAACGATTACTTTAATCTTGTAGAACATAGCACGGGTTTTCTAATGATGTATAACATTTCATCCAAGACCAAACTTTCTTTGTAGAGCAAAACGTTTCATGTAACGGTGGCAACTTATTCAACAACCTAATACAAGTATTGTCAACAATAGAAAGGTGAAGAAAATTTTAATGATCCTATGTTCACCCCCTCTACACCTCGTACAACCCCCNCCCCCCCCCCCCCAATTTTACTCCAGTCTATGTATCAATTTGAAAAGCAGAGGTGCTATGGGTATTCCGTTTCTAATATTCTGTATAAAATGCGCCTAAAGTTTCGGATTCAGATTCGGCAGTTACTAACCCTGCACTTTAGACCCGCGATTTTGGTTGCTGTCTTTCGGTCACCCATTTCGCTGAAAACGTACCAAGAAGGTTACAGTGTTAAGAGCATCTCAGGAAAGATGCCATTTTAAAACCAGTATTAAATTCAGGACATTTATTGATGCGACTTTGGCATGGTGTACTGCTACGAAGAAAATGCGTGTTTAGTCTTCATTATAGGAGAGTGTCGTTTCTAAGGTTATTGAACTAGCACAGTTCAATTCGTACAACCATTTGCCACACACTTTCGTGCATCATGCAAACTTCATGTCTTCCAAAGTTGGGCTTTTCTCACCTTCCCAGAGTTGATGTATCCAGTCTCACAAAGAACCTAGCTAATTTTGACGATATTGAGTGATGCGATAAACGAATTTCGATCGGGTTTACCACAGATGATCCATGGATATGCCGATTGTGATATCTTTGATGTTAACGAAACTGTCTCAAAATGCAAGCAGCTCCCAGAAGGAACAACATGTAATTTTCAAAGGTCAAACATTTCTGGTGACAAGAAATCCTAGGGAAAGAGTCACTGTACTGCTTTTTTGAGCATGACTGAAGGTTAGTTATTACTACCGAGTTTCCGCAACGTTGACTGTCCAACGAGCCGCAAAATGGTTTTCCAAGGACGCTCTATTCTAACACTTATGGATAATGCCCTTCCCTTGACAAAGTCGCAGTATTCTCAAATGTGGAGCTAGCATGGTCACCTCTAAACTGGTCGTCAATGTTACAACCAATGAGCTAGGGTATGACTTCGTCTTTTAGCTGTTAGTTCCGGAAATATTTAGTGGAATACGTTTGGGCTTTGGTGAAAAATCAGATGGACATTATCGTGGCCATGCGTTTACTCAAACAAGCTTGGATACCTGTTCATCCGCATGCATTGATAGGTAAGTTACCAGCCCTTCTGGATAGTCTGACTGCTAGTGTAACCAGATTCGGTATGCGTTTTTCACCTTCAAAGTGTAAAATGTCACTTCAAGATTGGACTGGTCCTACATCCAGCCTCACCCTAACTGAGGAACTAATAGAGCAATTCGACAAATTTTACTATTTTGGCAGCTATATCTCACCCAGTCGACTCATTACCGATGAAGTGTCAGCTCGCATACAGAAGGCTCGATTAGCATTTGCCAACTTGAGACATCAGTGGCGCTGTCGCGACATTCGGCTGTCTGTGAAGGGTCGAGTGTATGCTGCGGTAGTTCGGCCAGTTCTGCTATACGGCGCAGAAACTTGGCCATTAGGGAAACAGAACAAAGATACACTATCGCTGTTCGAACATCGCTCTCTACGCAGCATTGCATGAATCTGGTGGAGTAACCGGACGAGCAGTGCTGAGGTTAGGCGCAGAGTTTTAGGCAAACGCGGTCGCCACTGGAGGAAACGGTCGACCTCCATTGATTACGTTGGTTGGGACATGTGTTACGCATGTCACCAGATAGGTTGCCACGGTGAGCCATATTCGCCGAGGCAGGTAGTGAGTGGAAGAAAGTCAAGGGTGGTCAAGCTAAGATCTGGCATGAGGGTATGAAAACCCTAACCAAGAGTCAAGGTCACACAGGTCTTGTTAAGCTCCCTAGATGGGGACCTCGGGATGATCATACCCGATGGTTAGAGACATTGAGTGATATGGCTGAGTATTGTAAAAGTGGTGTTCGTGCATTTTGTCAATTTCTCTGCAACATTAGTCCATTGAAATTCGAAATTTCTGTTTGATCTTTCTTTGAACCTTTCCTGTTTTCTCCTTATGTTCATCCAAATGGGCAACCAAAAGACAGCAACCAAAATCGGCGCACGATAGTGAGTGGTTAATGGATGTAGAAACTGAAACTGATTGATAGGCTTTTTAATAGATTCAACCGAGGACTTATAATGCTACTACAAAACCCCTTTAATCTGCACAGGCATTTGCCGCAATGTTGTGGGGTCTATTTTTTCAGTATTTGTGATCAGTTTTGTTATTGTGGTCTCCAAATCCACGACTTTATTTGATGTCCTGCGATTAGTCTCGTTGACGGGAGTGAAATTTGCCCGATCCATGGACTCTATCGCACGATCTTCTTCGTGCAAGCAGGTGAACAATAACCGCGGTTGATAGCTGGTAAGTGGCGTTGCGAACTCGGTTTGTAGTTCTCAAATTGATCGTAAACCGCTATCGCACTGATCCGCTCGTGCAAATGGTTGGACGACAATCGCTGTAGTTCTTCCCAGAATTAATGACGAATTTGGACAGTTCACGGGCCAAATGTCATAGTAATCTGGGTCTAACGAGCCATTTAATGTGTTTGACGATGCACATCCACGTCGTGAATCAACTTGATCAGTCACTGAGATTATGACCGATAACAGCGGCACGAACGCCAAATAGCGCTGGTCATAACTAACCTATCGATCGGTTTCACCATACACCGGCGACAACAAAACAGAAGAACAAAGAAATAGATGTTTATAGACACTAAGGTATATATTTTCACCAGAAAAGCAGAGAAACATTGTATTACAGACAATGGGAGCCTGAAATATAGAAAATAATTCAATGTACCACGCATATCCAGTAACCGAAGTCTCACTTGTTTTCGATTATATGGTTTTTCTTGAATGTGGTTTTGTTCACGAATTAAGCATCAGATCAGATACGCACGATCTGGTCCGGATAGTTCACTGTGCCCAAATTTTGTGATGCCATTATTCCCGAAACCGTTTTAGATTATAATGTACTCTACTAACTCTACAAACTCACTCTTGCACTCCAACCGGACTGAACAATACTGATAATTTAGATTCTTTTTTGAGTTATGGAATTTTCCCAAAGGAAGGGTAAGGATGTCAAGCTGTGGGCTTTATAATAGTTTTCAATGTTTTCGATAAAAAAGGTTAAGTAAGACATTATAGTTTAAGCCGATTGAATTAAACCGTGTGTTAAAAAAATTAGCGATTTTTCATAATTCCTAAAGACATACAATACTGGCCAAAACGCTATGTCGCAGCTCCTGGAGTTTGCCAAAATTTTGTAATCCCTGAAGGGTGCAACGTGGAGGGATAGTAACTGTTTTATGTTTCATTTTGAAGCTTTTAACAGTATGATGCTCAAATTAAAACGACAAAAAATAAAAGGAATTTGGTTTCTCACATCCATAAAACAGATGTGACTGTTTTCAAAAGGATATTATTCAGGACAAGCAAAACAGGTCTGACATGGGAGAAGGGGAGGAGCAGGTAATACTCAATATCAAATGCGTATAACAAAACCAACCCCCATAAGAAATACAATTATGTGATAAGCAAGCATTCTTCCAGTGCTTCATCTATCACACAGTTACAGTCACATAACTTGGGCGATATTTTCGTGGGGTTCGTTGTAGGTGCTCTTTCTCAAATTCGATTGATTATTTCCTTCGTGCATCACCTTCACCCCGCAATGATCATCAATATAGCAAAGTGTTAATAAAAATTAAACATCTCAAGTTTATTAAAGTCAAAATACATGCAAATTCATTTGTCAATATAAATTTAATCTACTTGCATTGAGAAAAGGACTTATATTAATTTCACCACTAATCATATTATATCCCCTTAGAGTGTTTACCGCTCAGAAACCGAAAATTGAAGTAACTAATCGGAGGCGTCCAACAAAAGCTTTTCGCCTCCGGTTTAGAAACCCAATTTACCATTTTGAATATCCACTCGAAGTGTACCTAAATCAGTTGTCTTCT